CAAATAAGACATGTATATATTAGGTCAATAAAAGGTAGGAGAAAATGCGAAAGGTGCAATCATCGTATAACAAAAGTCCAATCAAATTCTATAATGAAGATATACTAAGTGTATCATTTTTTTAATAAAGAAAGCTTTGTTAATTTAATCTGTATTATTTGACCTCTAAATGTCTTTTGATTTTGTTTGTTTCTTTGGGTTAGCCTGTCTCATAAACAAATTCCTGACATCTCCTTTTGTTCATACACAAAAATCGTTTTAATTGCATCATGTCTATAATTGTCTTATGTCTGTAAATTTGTTCTAAGGGGGTTTACAAAAAAGCAAGAAGATACCATAACGGCAATTAATAATCAAAGGACAGACCATCCTATGGCCAAAAGATAAAGGAGGAATAGACAAACAAACAACAGTTCAAATAAAATACTCTGAGGAGCGCGATAGGCGGATCCAGGGGGGGCCAGGGGGACTGGGCCCCCTTTTGTGGGAAAAATTTGGTTGATTATATAGGGAATCACTGAAGCATGACTGGAGCGTGCGCCCCCCCCCCCCTTTTATGAAAAGTCCTGGATCCGCCACTGAGCGCAGCTTGATACAACCGCAGAAGTCGAACTCTGAACAGTTAGGGCAAGTATGGACACTACATTGAAGCTTGATACAGCTCTGAATTTGGATTGTGATTAAATATTTGACACATCATAGGTTTCTTACACAGAATAATTGTGGTCAAAGAACTGAAAACTTTGAAATTGGACTTTTTTCTATTTTGGTCCAATATCCAAAATCTAAATACATGGTTAAATTCAGCATATCATAGAACCCCAAGAATTTAATTTTTGATGAAATCAAACAAAATTTCATTATGGACCCTTTTGACCTCAATGTGGACCAATTTGATAACAGGGTCCTGAAAATCCAAAATCTAAATACAAGGTTAGATTCAGCATACCAAAGAACCCCATATATTCAATTTTTGGACCCTGATTTGGACAGATTCAGCATATCAAACTACACCAAGAATTTGATCAATTTATTTCTTAATGGAAAATATGAGCTAAGTTTTTAAAGGGGTTTGCTTCACCCATAAAAAAATTTATATATAATAATAATAATTCTTTATTTAACATATATAGCGTTCTGAAAAGTAATTTATACAGAATAACAAACAAACCTATCACAAAGTTCTTCAAAAAATTTACCAAAAAAAAAATGAAAAAACAATTTCCAAAATATCATTCCCCATTAATACAGTCCTACAGTTATCCCCAAGAAATCGCATCAAAATGATGATGGATTTAAAATCAGTTTATCAGCCAGACCACTTAAAAAACCAAAAATTTTTAAATAAATTTGTCACTCCAATTATAAGTGTGTTATTTGATGAATAACACATGTTTGGTTTTCTTGATAATAGGTGGTAATTGTGCATGAATGAATCAATAGTAAATACACAACACTTATCCATATTCATAAATGACTCCAAACAATGTAAAAACTACCTGATCTCAGCTTTTGTCATAGATGGAGATTTCACTTTATGATAAACTAAGAAATAAAGTAGAAAAGTAATTATTTTCATGCTTATTAATTGTATTCTTTTACAAACAGGTTGTTTATTTAACACTGAAATCTTAATCATGGAATTTAGAATCTGGACGTTGTGATTCAAATTGGGGTAGAGGTGGCTGGTTTCTAAGTCAAGACAAAATAAGATTGGTATTTGCTGCTTCTCTGCTAAGCACAAAGCATTAAAGAGTAACTGCAAAGACTGGTCAGCTCAGAATTAGAATGTTGTTTCTAATATGACTAAATAATAAAATAACAATTAAATTTGTCCTGAAATATTAATAAGAGGTGTGTGTGTGAGGAGGATTCTGCATTGGTGAAATGTTTTAAAAGAATAAATTGTGAATCCTGATATTTATGTATTTTTTATTCATTTGTAAAATTTAAATGAAAATTTTATTTTAATTTTTCAACCCCCCTTTTTTTGTTCTTTAGTTTAGTAACTTGAATTGTGTGATACATGTAAGTGCAAAATAACTGAAAACTTTGAAAATGCCAATTGTCATGCTGATGTGAAACATATATATGTTCAATTGTAAAATTCTATCTTACTTTTAAAATGTTCTTATTTGTTAAAACTGGTTGAAATGTTTATACCTATGACGTCACATAGTTTAGGCGCCAAAGAAAATAGCATCATTTCGCGGAATTTTTGTTTAATGAAAATTTTACACTGAAATAATGACTAAAATTCAAAGATTTGTTTATTTTGCATTAGAATAGAGATAACTGTATTGTATTTGAATCTTTGTGGACGTACATCGCTACGTGTTGCCAGGTAAACTCAATTTGCGACAGTAAAACTACTGATGTACGTCCGCAAAGCTTCAAATACAATACAGTTATCTCTTAAATGGATCAATTCAAAAACAGACCCAAAATCCAAATAATAAATACCCAATTAGATTCAGCATATTAAAGAACACCAAGAATTCAAGACTTTGAATTAAACCCCATTAAAATTGTTAAAGAAATAAGTAATTTATACAAAGTATTACAAAAGAATTATTTTTGGCCCCTTTTACCTAAACCGTTACGGACATAACCCCTAAAATCAATCCCAAACTTTGTTTTATGGTATAACACCTTGTGGTACAAATAAAAAGCAATAAATAGACTTGTACTCAAGTTATTGTCCAGAAACCAGAAAATCCTCGTTTTTTGGCCCCTTTTTGGTTCCTAATTATTAAACAGTTTGGACCATGACCCCCAAACATCAATCCCAGCTTCCCTTTTGAAGTATGAAACCTGGTGGTAAAATTCCATAGAGATCCATACTCTTATACACAAATTATTGTCCTGAAACATGAAAAATGCTTGTTTTTGACCCCTTTTTGGCCCCTAATTACCAAACAGCTACCACAATAACCCCAAAAATAAATCCCAACCTACCTATTGTGGTAAGGAACCTTGTCCTAAAATTTAATAGAGATATATAAACTTATACTCAAGTTATTGTCTTAAAACCTGACAAATAATTGTTTTTGGTCCCTTTCTGGCCCCTAATTACAAAACTGCTATGACAATAACTCCCAAAATCAATCCCATGCCTCCTAATGTGGTATGGAACCTTATGCTAAAATTTCATATAGATCCATACACTTATACTTAAATTATTGTCTGTGAACCAATTTATTTTCTATGAACCACAGGCCTCTACAATAACTTTTTTTTCAACTTGTCCAGTAGGACAAGTACATACCAAAATTTACTTGTCCGAATGAAATTGTAACTTGTCCAAAAAAAATCTGTTAATAATAACCTTTTTTGCATTTTAAGTTGATTCAAGGAACAAAATTAATTAAAACAATAGAACAGAATTTCAAAAATATGAGTCGAAAACAACTGAATCTAGACATACAGGACTTAGGTTCTAGTTATTATCAATGCCAAAATCTCATCAGACTCTGCACATGAGGCACCGTCTGATAGGCCTGTCAACTGTATTTGTATACTGTTTTTTTAAGTTGAAAAAAGTTTATTCAAATGCAATAAAAAAAAAGAAGATGAGGTATGATTGCCAATTAGACAACTCTCTGCAAGGGACCAAAATGACACAGAAATTAACAACTATAGGTCACCGTATTGCAAGTATTGTTTTTGTTCTACATATGATGAAAAATGATTTTGTGAATTATGTGGTAAATAATTTCTTCATTTTATTTAAAAAATAGTTTTGTTAAAAAAAATTACCGGTATGGTATTTATTATAAATCAACGGAATAAGGTAAGAAAACGAGGTACTAATTTGTCTTGGTCCGGAAAAGTCTCCTGCGGTGCAAATCTGTCTATTAATCATGTCTATTAAATATGTCTCCGACGGTGCCAAACTGTCTAATAAACTTGGAGCCGAATGTTTCGAGCTGGTGACGAACTGTCTTGTAAAGTTACCTTATCTACAAAGGCATCGCTGATTCGGATCAGTAAGACTGGTTTCCGAGAATAGTATGCCTTTTACCTGTTAAAAAGTACCTGACAAAGAACCAGTTTTAAATTATCGACTGCAAGTAAACATGTCAAATTAATACTTGTTTTTATCTTCTTTTCTTGTTTTTTGTTTATAATTACTTTGTTCATCAAAGTTGGATTAAATTTATTTTCTGCAGAATAATTTTACTTGTCCCGTCGGACAAGCTTCATATAGCTTTTACTTGTCCGACCTTTTTTTCCTCTGGTACCGGACAATCGGACAAGCGTTATTGTCGAGCCCTGAACCAGTAAAACTGACCTTTTTTGGCCCCTAATTACAAAACCACTAGGACAATACCCCCCCCCCCAAAAAAAACAAAACAATCCCAACAATCCTTTAGTGGTATGGAACCTTGTGCTAAAATTTCATAGAGATCCATACACTTATACTCAAGTTATTGTCTGCGAACCGAAATGTCTTCAGACGCAGGCCCAGACATCGCCATAACATAATTACGGACGCAAAATAATTTGGAGATGTATTAAAAACTTAAAATTCAGTTTCAGAAAGGTTCCAGTTTAATTTTACTTAATTTGATATTTAAGGAAAGACTGTAATACTTTTTCAGTCTATGAAGAAATAACATCAAAAATGTGGTGCACACAGAATAACCTGCATAGCGGGTTATTTAAAAGTGTGCACCACATTTTTAAGGTTATTTTGTACAGTCTTTCCTTATAATTTAATTCTAAATTCCATTTTTAAGGAGTAAATTATGAAAAAAAATGTTGATGACATCATGGTCACATGACAAAATCATGTCTATGAGCTGATAGACAAAAAACTTTCAGCCAATCAGAAGACGTGTTATATCCAAAATTAAATTATTGACATTTAATCATAATTTTCACTCACAGACTTTCACGGTTTAAGACATTTTCAAATATCTGAATATTTTTTTTTAATTCAAATTGTATTTTCCATTCTTGTAGACAGAAATGTTTTTTTAATATAAAACACAAACCTCCTCAGTACTTCCTTAACAACATATGAACAAATAATACGTCTTCTGTCCATAGATTTCTCTGTTGTCCATGGGACAGTCTCAGTAATACTGCTATCTTTAAATCTTCTCAACTCAGATTTTTCTCCCCAAAACTCTCGAAATTCCTTAGCCTGAAGGTATATAAAGTATATAATAAGTATGCAACAAACCATCCTTTTTTAGTTGCTTTGTTAACATTTTTTTAAATTCTGCCTCTAATTACTTCATATTCAAAATTATCATAAAGTTTACGTAAGTTTTCAAATATTTTATTACTGTAAATTGGGATATTTTGGCTGCAGTCATATTTTGGCACCCAAGATAAAATTACCAAAGCTAAACACACCAAATTAAATATTAACCAAAAAGATAAATTCAAGATTTTCAATAATCATCATAAAAAAATAAATATTATTATACATGTATTTGATTTAATTTCATGAGGAAAAATAGGGACTGCATTAATTATATAACAAGATTAATAGATCAAAACATCTAATAGTGTAACATCTTCAATTAATGGCCCTTCTTAATTTATTATTGACCAACATTACTATTACGTTAACAATACTTCAAATTAAATATAAACTTTAAGTTTAAATAATCTATCCTCATCTAATTATTGCAATCAAATATTACCTGATTTAAAAAAAAAAGAGATCAATTCTTTCTTTTTATTTTCTTACAGTGTTTTTCTTAACGAGTGACTGACAGATAATTAAACAATGAATATGCCAAAATTTTACCAAAATGTCATGATAAACTGCCTTAACCCAAAATTTTAACCTGTAACGTGTCAGACTAATGATGGAGGAACACAATGCAAACCAGAAAATAAAATACCCCCTTACTATTGTAAGCTGGCAAAAAAAACCACTTTTTTATACTACAATGATGTGTTCATTCTAGACCCCTTTACGGTAAACATGGATTTTTTTTCAAGATTACAATGAATAAACATTTTGTGAGGTAGTCAGATTTGTGCATCAAATATAAAACAAGCTGTTCACATCAATATTGGTGATTTGTACAAAAAATTCGTGCATGGATTATTTCCACACATAATGTATTCATGAAATAAGGGAAATAACCTATATCTGTAAATGTTGAAATTTACAGTACCCATTATTACCTCAGGTGAGTCTGCAGGTGGTCCTTTATCAATTGATGAAAATGCAAATTCTGGATTCAATGAAATACCAACAGTTACCTTCTGGTCTTCAAGAGATGGTGGTGTGTCATCAATATCCCACTGAAATAGACATCAATGGAAATAGACATCAATGGAAAAAGACATCAATGGAAAATAACAGACACCGTCCATTCATTTATTTTCTTTGGTACCAATTTTCGTGAATTGAGAAAAAAATCAATTTTCATGGATATTTGATCTTGCAGTTTTGCCAGTCTACAAACAAGCCTATAGCAATTAACTTCCTGGTTTACCTATTCCCAAAAATCTATGGATATTGGTATCCCACAATAAAAATGAATCCACAGTAGAACATTCAAAAACAAATTTAAGTTCAAAGGTGAAATTCAACAAGAAGTTGTATGTGTTTTTGTGCTAAGCATAAATCACTTGTAATCCAAAGAATCAGAAAACATGTAGCAGGTATCTGAAAGATTCAAAACGAGCTCACACCTTACAAATCATCATATATGAAGTTATTTTGTTCAGTAGTATCTGAAAAAAACACTGATGAAAATATTAGTTGTATGAAAGGACTGACAGACAGACATAGTGGTTGCTATGTAGTCCCACTCTAGAATGGGGATATAAAAATCAAAATCAAGAGTACAACACACATTCAAGATGAATCAAAGTCAAGTAGATATGTTGAAAGACAAACAAAAAAGGATGTATAAAAACTGAATAGTTGAAAGGCTCAAGTTTTGGGCATTAAAAACTATCAACACCTGGATTAACATCAGGTTATCTGAAAGCTTAATCATGTCATTATATTGCAATTTTAAGTTATTCTAAAGTCTTTAAACAACATTGTTGTAAATAAACTTTTGTCCAATAATAATATAACATTTCTTTCTTTTTAGCACAACTATCACTGTTTTCCTATTTCAATGCAGCAAACATGTTAACTGTTTAAGACAGATTTAACTGTGAAGCTAAGTTCGACGTTTCCTTTTCCCTTGACCTAACAAAACAATTTTTTTTTTTTTTGCTCGTTGTTGAATGCTGTACAATGACCTATAGTTGTTTCCATCTTTGTCCTTTGATTTCTGGCAGATAGCTGAAGTAAAGTTGTCTCAAAGACAATCATACCACATCCACTTTTTTTTATAAAGTAGATCCCATATGCCTTTCCTAATATTGATTGATTGATTGTTATTTTAACAGCACTTTCACCACTATTGGCTATTTTGCGGCAGTCAGTTTTTATTGAGTTCGCTGAGAAAACCACTGATCTTCAGCAGGAAAACTGACAATCCTTGTCAATTAAGATTGGAGTCAGACACACCTGCCACATGTTGGGTATGAACTCACAACCTCGATGTTGACAGGCTAGTGATACAGTAGTTGAACTACTTAGACCACTCGGCCACCGAAGCCCTTCCTTTTCTAATAAAGTTGTTTTTGTGCACTGCATATGGATAACATGTCTATACATACCTGTGTGACTGGGTATTGTTTGATTTGTACAAGATCAATCCTTTTATCCAATGCTCTCTGTAAAAGTGACATAACATCTGGTATAACTGTATGAACATAGTTACCACCATAGTCCAATAGCCGATCATGTTGATTCAATTTATCAACAGTGTTTTTAAGCTCTTCTACACAGGTTATACTGAAAGCAATAAATTACAAACTGATATCATTATGAAGATAAGAAGGGTATGAAAAGCCTGGGAATTTTTTTTTAATTTTTAATTTCCAGAAAGATTTTTATGAAATATCTTCAGAATGCTCATAATTCAGCAACAGCTCCATGATGCGAAAGACAATTTAAATATGCTAAATGATGAATTTAGTGTATGAGGGTCAACTGAACATATAAACATGTTTTGAATGTCAGAGTATAAAAGCTATTCCTTTTTTCATTATAAGTCATACATAAACCTTTATTTTGACAACAACAAATATTTCAAAGCTGCAAAACTCTTTGGCTTAACAATTATTCATTTACAAATTGAGACCAACAATTAGTGTCTATTTCATTTCAGAGGCAAACAAATTCTTGAAGTTTTATTTTCTATTCATTCTTTAGACATGATAATTCCTGCATGGTACTAAAACTTTTCTACAAAGGGAAGTAACTCTTAAAATCTTTTTGCAATTTTGTCAAACAAACTCATTTATGATCACGCTTGTGTAGACAGTATTATGACAAGGCTGAAAAATTTATTGGTTTTTAAAAATGATTTCCAGTTTCTATCATAACATATGTACTACAAACTTACTGAAAAATGTGTTCAAATTTCCTGGTGAATTTGACAGGCATCAAAAATAATACATGAAAACTATCAACAGTTTTGTCTTCCAAAATTTTGACGGCTAATTCTGCTTCATGCTTCACCTTAAAATATAAAGCATATTTCATTTATGTTGATACAGTATATTCACATAGTTAAATAGTATACAAGTAACATGTAAAAGCTCTCAAAACAAAGAGAAATGAAATACTACAGATATTTCATAATTTTTAACAGTGTATATATATTATTTTATAAAAGCTGCCATTTTTTTTTTTTTTTAAATCGAAAGATGTTGTTTTCTTCAAAAAACTGGCATTCCTTGGATAAGGACCACAGGTGTGACACCAAAAATTATCCTAGAAGAGGAATTTCATTGATTATTTAAAAGTATGAGAACCATACCTGTAGACTCTATTTGCAATGTAAATGAATACCGCTCATTTGTAAACCCTTATGTATTTTGAAATTGCGTATTGCTGAATGAATAATAAGGATAAGACAAAATGTTGGGTTTATGTCAATGAGTACCCCATGAAACAAAAAATGCTTTAATGATGTCAGAATACCTATAACAGAACAATTTGAAAGCCAAGAATCTTAGGCTGAAAGTTTTCTATAATAAGAAGTGATAGTTTTGAACAATGGTTCATCTTTTTTTAATTAGTGATATCACTTAGACCTATGAAAGTCATTTTTGTTGTGTGAGTCATGAATAAGTGGAAATAAGTTTTATTTGATAACTTAATTTTTATACCTTAGCAATAATTGATTAATCTAAGTTTTTTTTTCAAATTAAAAGACAATGTCAAATATTGCCTAACATATATGAATATTAATCAAGTTTACATCTTTTAGTAGGTAAATCAAACTTTGAGTCCTTCTTCAAAAATGCAACCATTTCAAAAAGATATTATCTTAAGATTACTTAATCTCAGACTGTTTTACTGACAAATATCTTACCCTTAAAAAAGTTGACTTTGTCATTTCTGAACACAAATTAACATAACCAGTAAGATCTAAAAATACACAATTAAACATTTGCTGAAAATCATCTGTTGTTGGTTGATTAGGGTCTGACTTATCACCACAAAGATCAGGTCCTTCCTCTGTCCAATTTTCTTTTGCTGCAATAAAAAAAGTTCTTTGAATTATTACAGCTGCAATTAGTTATTGATGAAACATGCTGATTTGCTGTCAGGAACCTCGCCAGTAGTTGTCATCTGTCATATCTTAATGTTTGTTGTTAATTGGAGAATAAGGTTTTAATGGCAGATTCTTGATTGCTTCTGTTAAATTTATTCCCAACTATTCGTTCTTATTCGTGGGTTACTAATTTTCATGGATTTCGTGGGTATAAGTGAACCAAAAATTTCAAAATTAGACATTGAAAAACTTTCTTAGGCTTGTATGCAGACTGAAATCAAATATCCATGAAAATACAATTTTTCCTCAATCGTAGAAAATTGGTACCCACGAAAATAAATGAATCCACAGCACTTTGGAGGATTTAGAGCTTGATATTGTATATACACCTGTCTATTGTTGAAGACTGTATGATGTCCTCTAGATGTCCTTTGGTTGTTTTTTTCATTAGGTTGCTGTCTCATTGGGGTAAACCCCAAATCTCCTTTCATTCACATGTAAAAATCCAAACTTTTAGTTCTGTCATTTTTTTTTCAGGTGCTTTCTCTTTGAAAAATACCCTATATCTCCTTTGCTCATACAAACATTAACTAATTTACATATGCATATACTTTTGATTTTTTATATACTTTATATATTACCTTTTACATATACAAATAATTACATTGTCAATGTAATTAATTATATTTCAATTACTTTTGTGCTAAGAACTAAGAATAGAATAAAAATGTTTACCAGCTGGTTTGAGACATTTTACATGAACTGTTGAGCATTGAAACATTTGTAGAAGCATTGTTTTATGTTTTGAAATTTAAGTTTTAGAGCTCTGAAAAAAGATGTTCATAGAAAATGTGTGTCATTATTATACATTTGTGACATTTATGTAGAACAAGAACTTGTCCATAGTACATGGATGCCCCACTCGCACTATCATTTTCTATGTGAAATTGGGGTCAGAACTCTAATTTAGCATTAAAATTAGAAAGATCATATCATAGGGAACATGTGTACTAAGTTTCAAGTTGATTGGACTTCAACTTCATCAAAAACTACCTTCACCAAAAACTTTAACCTGCCCACTCACACTATCATTTTTTATGTTCAATGGACTGTGAAATTGAGGTCAAAACTCTAATTTGGCATTTAAAATTAGAAAGATCATATCATAGGGAACATGTGTACTAAGTTTCAATTTGATTGGATTTCAACTTCATCAAAAACTACCTTGACCAAAAACTTTGACCTGAAGCGGGACAGACGGATGAACGGACGAATGAACAAACAAATGGACGCACAGACCGAAAAACATAATGCCCCTCTACCATCGTAGGTGGGGCATTAAAATCAAATTTATACTATCTTTTTAGTGTTTGTACATGATATTTAGTATCCGTTTTTTTTTACACAAACATCAAATAATTTTGTAGTTATTCAATCTTGAAGGACAATACAGGCCCTTATTATTAGGTCACCTCCTCCTTTGCTATATATCATACATACCTAACTGTAATAGGGTATTCCTCATAATCTGGTAGTTACTCATCATTTTGTTTAGTTTCCTCCTGGACAATAAATATATAACATACATGGACATTATGAAACCAGAAAATCCACCATATCCCTGTGAAATAACAATCATAGATATAATGAAACCAGAAAATCCACCATGTCCCTGAAAAATAACAATCATGGATATAATGAAACTAGAATATCTACCATGACCCTGAAAAATAACAATCTTAGATATAATGAAACCAGAAAATCCACCATGTCCCTGAAAAATAACAATCATGGATATAATGATACCAGAAAATCCACCATGTCCCTGAAACAAGAGGCTCTCAAGAGCCTGAATCGCTCACCTGTAATTCTTTGCTTAAATCTTTCATCAATGATTATTTTTGCTTTTCAATATATATTAATGAGTGGCTTAAAAATGCCATTTAAATGTTCTTTGTATCTGTCATATTTTCTTCAAAAGCAAAAAAATGCATTTTACCCCAATGTTCCATTTTAGCCATAGTGGCTATGTTTCTTGACGTACAAGGAAATAAAATACAAAATTTATACTAGATACTCTGAAACTCATTCAGCCCAACTTTGGCTGACATTGATTCAGCAGTTTCAAAGGAGAAGATTTTTTAAAGTAAGCAAACTAGATAAACAAATTGTGAAAAGTTGTCTTTAAAGGACAATAACTCCTTAAGGAGTCAATTGACAATTTTGGTCATATAAAAAATTATTTGTAGATCTTACTTTGCTGAACATTTTTGCTGTTTACAGTTTATCTTTATCGTTAATAATATTTAAGATAATAACCAATAAACTGTTATCACAGAGATATGTCTCGCCTTTTTGTAATTTTGATAATGCAAATGTTGAAATTAAAATAGCAATACTTTAACATGTAAGTTATGCAAATATTCAAAGTCGATGAACCATGACTGAAGGTACATGGCTAAACAATCTCCATGGAATGAGATGTGCCAATGCTAATACAACTGCATACCAAATACCATTGAAGTCGTTCCCTTTAAACAAACCTAAACACAAACATTAACTTGTAAACTATGTAAAAGTTTCAAAGTCAATGAACCATGATCAGGGGTGGGGCTATATAATCTCCATGGAAACGATACTTGCAAATGCCAATAAATTTGCATACCAAATATCATTGACTTAACATTAGCAGTTTATCTTAAACTAATCTAATCACAAACTAATACATGTAAACTAAGCAAAAGTTTCAAAGTAAATAGACCATGACTAAGGGGGCGGAGCCAAATAATCTCCATGGTAATGAGATGTGCCAATGCTAATACAACTGCATACCAAATATCATTGACCTACCACTAGTGGTTCACCATGAACTAGACCTAATTACAAACTAATACATTGTTGACCCCGCCGCCGACGCCAGAAACAGCATACCTATGTCTCGCTTTTTGACTCCGTCAAGGCAAGACAAAAACTGCAAAATATCCTTAAAATTACCAATTTAGTGGCAGCAACGCAACAATGGGTTGTTAGATTCATCTGAAAATGTCAGGGCTGATAGAATTTGACCTAATGAACATTTTTTCCTCATGTCAGATTTGCTCTAAATGCTTTAGTTTTTGAGATATAAGCCAAAAACTGCATTTTACCCCTATGTTCTATTTTTAGCCATGGCGGCCATATCTTTTGACGAAACAGAAAATAAAACACAAAGTTTATTCTAGATACCCTAAGGATCATTCAGCTTAAATTTGGTTGGAATTGGTTCAGTAGTTTCAGAGAAGAAGATGTTTGAAATAGTTTACACCGGATGGATAATGACGGACGCCAAGTGATGGCAAAAGCTCACATTTCCTTTGGAAAGGTGAGCTAAAAAACAATCACAGATATATGAAACCAGAAAATCCACTATGTCCCTGAAAAATAACAATCATGGATATAAGGAAACCATAAAATCTAACAACCTTAGAATATCTCACATTCCACCATCACAGAAAGGACATCATCATGGACACAATCTTATTGAAATGCAGATCTTGCGTCCACTATTAGCCTACAAGGATCTGACAACACCCCCAATCTACTGTCTGATCTGGTAATTATATCATTAACAAATGAAATTTTTGCCTATAATTTTTTTTAGGTGTGTAGATATAAGAAGATGTGGTATGAGTGCCAATGAGACAACTCTCCATTCAAGTCACAATATGTAAAAGTAAACCATTATAGGTCAAAGTATGGCCTTCAACACGGAGCCTTGGCTCACACCGAAACAGCAACCTATAAAGGGCCCAAAAATGACTAGTGCAAAACCAAAGGTCTAATCTATAAAATTAGAAACGAGAAACACTTATGAACCACATCAACAAACGACAACCACTGAACATCAGGTTCCTGACTTAGGACAGGTGCAAACAAATGCAGCGGGTTTAAATCATTAAGACAACACCAGAGGATCCCAAAAGGTCTGTAAAACAGAGTGTTTTCAGACCCTTGTAATCACAAAGCATAAGATTCGAATTACAGGATCTGTATTCTAATCAGATTGTCATGGGCCAGTCAGTACCATGCAATTGGAAACACCTTAATTCTTTTCTAAAATTCAACATTAAATAAAAACTTACAATATCAAGCTCCCTCTGCTGTAACCATATTCTGAGCAGACTGATCCCTTCCTTTACAGAGTTGGCATCCTGTAAAGCTGATTTCATGCATTGGTTGTTACTGGTCATTGTAAGATCTTGTAAGATGGCTGTGTTGTAATGGGGTGTGGCAGGTTCTTCTGAAAAAACTTCTGAAAAAGAGTTGCTAGATGCTCTTAGTAAGTCCTATGAAAGTTGTACATGGATGCATAAGACACAAAAGGAGTAGGAGCACTAAGGACCAGTTTTGGCCCAAGAAAAATGTACATGTATAACATAAGATTTTCGATGTGATGACATCACAATTACGTCATAATATGCACCGTTTTCAAGAAAATTAAGAAAACTGCAGAATTTATGCACTTTCCCATCCATATTTCCAATGTGGAAACATACTGCCTAGCCAAGAAACAACAAAATAAAAAGAGAAGCTTTGTTGTAACTATTGACATAATCTCCCCAAATATAGTTGTTTCTTGGGTTTCAAGACATTTTTACAAAATATACAAATTTCGTCATGGTTTGTTATTATGGTATCTCGTTTAATATGAAATGTTTTTCTTTTTGGAACACCTTGTACCTTAGAATAGTTGGGACAAATTTCAGAAAAAGTATGGTACCGGTAACTTATCAATTTTCACGATAATTTGGGCAATATAAGGACATTAAGGGGGTAGACCTGGGGTATGGGAGATAACTTTTACAAAGGTATTTGAAGTCATTTGTGTGTTTTAACCTAGCAGTAACTGGAACAGGGATCAAGCATTTATGTTGTTTACATTAGATTATGAGAATGATGCAGGAGTATCTTAGAAAATTAGACAAGTTTGACTCCTCCAAGCATTAAATTAAGGAATTACATGTTATCAATATTTAAAAATCAAAAGCTGAAAACTTAAAAAAACAACATTCCTATAATTATAAAATGCTTTTGAAAAATTCAACTATGTACTTAGTAGGTTTTTGGAATGACTCTAGACATCATTTAGATAAAATCTTACGGTTTGGAAAAAATTGAATTAGAACAAATTGGATTGAATAATGAAGTTATAAAGTTTTAGTACTAAGTTTTTGGTTGATAGGCTGTACTTAACTGTATATATTTGGTTTTCAAAAACAAATGGCAATATTCTATAAGATATGATCTGAACATTCATTCTAGTACAATCAAATGCTAACAGATAACCTAAATTAGCACAAAGATAGTACTTAAATAGTGACAGACTGTCAAAACATTCAATTTAGCGTCTGCTTGTCCGATGACAGGGGCATTTTGTAGTCTTGGGGAGGGAAACCAACATTACATATTATAATGTAGATATGTCAATTCAACCCAAGAGTAAACGTCCCATACTGAATATTACTGATTTTCTTTATAAACTTGACTACGGTAATTGCTTTTAACTTACATTCTATCTTTTAATAAACCTTTTTCACAAATTTTCAATTGATTGTACCTCTGGAGTTATGAATTAGTTTAAACATATTTTATTTGCTTAAATATACAAAAGGGATGAGACACAAGTTAATCAAACTTATAAAGTCTTCTGGAGTTATGAATGCTACATATATCATTGTTTTCATATTCAGATTCTATATACATTAAAAATTCATCAAACTCAAAAATATAGCCAAATTACTTTCATTTTGCCTTAAGGGCTTTATTTATGTAAAAATAAAAGAATGTGTCTGAGGTCACGAATGCCCCTGCTCAAGCTTGCTAATAATATGTGAAAATACTTTTTGAGAACATTTGATGTCACTGCCTAGTTTTTAAAGAGTTGTATTGTTCTAGTCTATTATGCTGTGTTATTTTCTTGCAATTTTCCAAATTATGACGGGGCATAACTCTAGAACAGTAAGTTATTCAATGCCCAAATTAAAACTCTGACTGCGAGTTTTTGGTTCTTAGCATTGTGTATGAGTTTAATAAAATTTGCATGAGGCAAACTTAAGTTATAGTGTTGAAATGAAAAAATTTCCAAGTTATATTGGGGCAAGTAAATCACTGCCCAAATTCAAACTCTGTCTGTGAGTTTTGGTTCTAAGTATTATGTGTGAATTTCATAAAATTTGTATGAGAAAAAATTAAGAACGAGGAAATGAAAATGGGACGGATGGTCAAGGGTAGCACTTAATGCCCCCTTCGCACAGGGGCTAGGGCATAAAAATATGATGAAAAGTAAAGAACTTTACCATTTTGAGCATATGTTTGCAATAACATAACTAGAGGCTCTAAAGAGCCTGTGTCGCTCACCTTGGTCTATGTGCATATCAAACAAAGGACACAGATGGATTCATGACAAAATTGTGTTTCGGTGATGGTGATGTGTTTGTAGATCTTACTTTACTGAACATTCTTGCTCCTTACTATTATCTCTATCTATAATGAACTTGGCCCAGTAGTTACAGTGGAAAATATTATGTAAAAATTTACAAAAATTTACAAAATTTATGAAAATTGTAAAAAATTGACTATAAAGGGTAATAACTCCTTAAGGGGACAATTGACAATTTTGATCATGTTGACTTATTTGTAGATCTTACTTTGCTGTACATTATTGCTGTTAACAGTTTATATCTATCTATAATAATATTCAAGATAATAACCATAAGCTGCAAAATTTTCTTAAAATGACCAATTCAGGGGCAGCAACCCAACAACGTGTTGTCTGATTGGTCTGAAAATTTCATGGCAGATAGATCTTGACCTGATAAACAATTTTACCCCGTCAGATTTGCTCTAAATGCTTTGGTTTCAGAGATATAAGCCAAAATCTACATTTTACCCCTATGTTCTATTTTTAGCCATGGCAGCCATCTTGGTTGGTTGGCTGGGTCACTGGACACATTTTTTTAAACTAAATACCCCAATGATGATTGTGTCCAAGTTTGGTTCAATTTGGCCAAGTAGTTTCAGAGGAGAAGATTTTTGTAAAAGATTACAAAAATTTACGAAAAATGGTTAAAAATTGACTATAAAGGGCAATAACTCCTAAAGGGGTCAACTGACCATTTTGGTCAAGTTGACTTATTTGTAGATCCTACTTTGCTGAACATAATTGCTGTTTACAGTTTATCTCTATCTATAATAATATTCAAGATAATAACCAATAAAATGCTTCGCTGGGGCGCAGCTTGATACGACCGCAGAGGTCGAACCCTGAACAGTTGGGGCAAGTATGGACACAACATTCAAGCTTGATACAGCTCTGAATTTGGATTGTTATTAAATATTTGACACAGCATAGGTTTCTGACACAGAAAGAATGTGGTCTAAGAACTTGAATTTTTTTAATTTACCTATTATGGTCCAATGTCCAAAATCAAAATACATGGTTAGATTCAGCATATCAAAGAAACCCATATATTCAATTTTTGTTAAAATCAAACAAAGTTTAATTTTGGACCCCAACTTGGACAAACTTGAAAACTGGGCCCATAATAAAAAATCTAAACACATGTTTAGATTCAGCATATCAAAGAACCCCAAGAATTCAATTTTTGCTAAAATCAAACTAAGTTTAATTTTGGACCCTTTGGACCTTAATGTAGACCAATTTAAAAAACGGGACTTAAAATTAAAAATCTAAATACACGGTTAGATTTGGAATATCAAAGAACCCCAATAATTCAATTTTTGATGAAATCAAACAAAGTTTAATTTTGGACCCTTTTGACCTCAATATGAACCTATTTGATAGCGGGGCCCACAAATAAAAAATCTAAATTCATGGTTAGATTCAGCATATCAAAGAACCCCATATATTCAATTTTTGTTGAAATCAAAAAAAGTTTAATTTTGGACCCCAACTTGGACCAACTTGAAAACTGGGCCCATAATCAAAAATCTAAACACATGTTTAGATTCAGCATATCAAAGAACCGCAAGAATTCAATTTTTGTTAAAATCAAACTAAGTTTAATTTTGGACCCTTTGGACCTCAATGAAGACCAATTTAAAAAACGGGACCCAAATTAAAAATCTAAAAACACGGTTAGATTTGGCATACCAAAGAACCCCAATAATTAAATTTTTGATGAAATCAAACAAAGTTTAATTTTGGACCCTTTTGACCTTAATATGAACCAATTTGATAACGGGGTCCACAAATAAAAAATCTAAATACATGGTTAGATTCAGCATATCAAAGAACCCCATATATTCAATTTTTGTTGAAATCAAACAAAGTTTAATTTTGGACCCCAATTTGGACCAACTTGAAAACTAGGCCAAAAATCAAAAATCTAAATACATGTTTAGATTCAGCATATCAAAGAACCGCAAGAATTCAATTTTTGCTAAAATCAAACAAAGTTTAATTTTGGACCCTTTGGACCTTAATGTAGACCAATTTGAAAACTGGACCCAAAATTAAAAATCTAAATACACGGTTAGATTCGGCATAACAAATAAATAAATGTGGTCAAAGATTTTACAAATCTAATGCGCCATACTGTGCAATTAAAGATTACTTCTTGAAATTTTTCAATATTTGAAATTTGAAAAAAAAAAAATATTTGAAGAATAATTCTTTTTAATTTCTGAAATCTGAAATGAGAAAAAATTGACCTCCCACAATTTCTTTTTATCCCCCCCCCCCTTTTTTCCCCCAAAAAATTCTTTCCCTCAAGATATGGTCATAATCTCAATTCAAATTTCCAATGGAGTTGGCAACCATAATTACCCATTTAAATTTACCTTAGTGCTAACTTAATCTATTTTATAATAGAATTAAAAATATAGTGTCAAATCTTTCATATGGATTTTTTGTAAAAAAAAAATGCAACATTTGCAGATATTTTTACTGGTCTTCCTTTATAAATATGCATTTCTTTAAACATAATTTAAAAGCAGTGTAAGGGAAGTAACCAAAAACGTTGTATTTGGATTACCTCCCTTACACTGTATTAAATTATCTTTATTGTTCTTTAACCATTACTTTATACATAATTTAAAAGCAGTGTAAGGGAGATAATTTCAATGATGTATTTGATTTATCTCCCTTACACTGCTTTAAATTATGTTTTGTACTAAAGTATTTGTCCATTAACCAGGACAACCTTGTTTTTCCCCCTTTTTTGCCCCTAATTCCTAAACGGTTTGAGCCATAACCCCCCAAAGCAAATCCTAACCATCCCTTTGTGGTATGGAAACTTGTAGTATAATTTCAGAGAGATCCATACACCGTTCCACAGTTATTGTCTGGAAACTAGAAAATGCTTATTTTTGGCCCCTTTTTGGCCCCTAATTCCTTAACTGTTGGTACCATAACCCCCAAAATCAATCCCAACCTTCCTTTTGTGGTATTTAACCTTATGGTCAAATTTCAAAAAGATCCATTCACTTTAACTAAAGTTAGAGTGCGAAAACCAATGTGTCTTCGGACGACGACGCCTAAAAATTACCAATTCGGGGGCAGCAACCCAACAACGGGTTGTCCGATTCATCTGAAAATTTCAGGGCAGATAGATCTTGACCTGATAAACAATTTTACCCCCATGTCAGATTTGCTCTTAATGCTTTGGTTTCAGAGATATAAGCCAAAATCTACATTTTACCCCTATGTTCTATTTTTAGCCATGGCGGCCATCTTGGTTGGTTGGCCGGGTCACCTGACACATTTTTTAAACTAGATACCCAAATGATGATTGTGGCTAAGTTTGGTTAAATTTGGCCAAGTAGTTTCAGAGGAGAAGATTTTTGTAAAAGTTAACAACTACGGACGACGACGATGGACGCCAAGTGATGAGAAAAGCTCACTTGGCCCTTTGAGCCAGGTGAGCTAAAAAAATAAGATATTTGAAACTTTAAAATTTTTACAACAATACCCCTTGGATCTGAAATATATACCTTCTGATTCTTGGCCATTAAACCATGACCGTCTAACATTATTCTTGTTGATATGGAAACGACTATACTTGAATGTTCCTTCTTGGGGACAAACATGAAGATGAAATGTGACCTCTTTGCCCTCTCCTAAAAAATATATATATTGAGTATCAATAGTCCATATCAATATCAAATGAAATAATACAAAATATCACATTTGATATCAAAAATAATACAAAATATCACATTTGATATCAAAAATATTTCAAAATAATTTCCATTTATCAAAATCATCATTATTATCAGCTGCAATATTTAATATGAATTAAAATTATAATTCAATACTACTTATATGAAAATATAATGTTTTTAGAAAAAGAAACCTATAATTTAATGGTTTTTGTCCAGAAAAACAAATAGATGGCCTCTTGTAAAAGCGTACAATATAAAGGAGTGCTTATTTTTGGTTTCAAAAGTTTTTTTAAACTGTAAAAAAAAATTTTCATCAGGGACCATCTACAAGTATGCGTATCTTTTACAATTTAACATAATTTTGGGAACATTTGTGTTTACCAGGTACATTTTTGTATTTTCATAAAATAATGAAATTTTGGGCTTCTTTATGTCATTAAATTGACAACATTGAACACTATCATTGGTAGATCAAGAAAAGGGCTTCAGATGCTGTAAAATTTATAAAGTGTTGTTTGTTATTTTTCACTAAGTTTAAAATAAAAATGGACAAGCAATGTATTTTCTCTTTAAGTTTCAGTTGCAAAAATGGATTCTAAAACAGACTTGAAACATGCCTTTCCTTTCGCGATATATATGTTATGTAAAATAACGAATTATGAAGTACCCTTAAAAATGTTATAACAGAATATAAATGACACTATTTTAGTGCCACCAGAAAATCAGCAAATTAAATTCTGGCAATGAGCATTACCCCTGAAATGTGTGTTGAAAACAATCTTATTGTGATCTAAATCCTTGAAAATATTTTAATTCATAATACCTTTATAATCTAAAGCAAGAATTGGTTTGAGTGTGTTCCCATTTTGATAGGAAAACTTCACATATTGTACACATTCCTGTTTCTGTAACTTCAATGCAATAACAGACAAGTATAACGCTCGTTTCTGTATGTATCTGTGATTCATATAATCTTTAGGTTGGAAAAATTCCTACACAAAAAGAAAAAAAAATATGACAATAAAAAGATGAGTAATAATTATTGGAGGCAATAATTCAATAATATCAGTTTATCAAAATAGACATCTACATACAACTGATCATAACTAAGCACCCACACAATGTGACAGTCCTAAACTTCACAATCTAAACAGTTGTTAATTCAGCAAAAATGACAAAATATTTGACATCAACACCATATTCGTGAATAACATAAAAGTGAAAGCAACTAAGATTTGTTTTTAAATCTATGTTTAATAACCCTGTCACATTTTCATGTGAATGACCCAAATTAGGAAACCTAGTCATTGGATATTTTTAGCTATAGTGTTACGCCCCGGTGATTTGAAAGCTTATATTGTTACTGTGGTTTAACTTGTGTAAATAAGATAGATGTGTTTATATTATCACTGTGGTCTCCGTTCCATACTTGTTACTAGCAGATGTTCATTGTTGCGTCCTGTTCCATATTTTACAGAATGAATAGCTTAACTATACCCATTATTATTTAATTACTTTGTTTAACCTACAAATCAACTTTATTTATGAGTGTAATTGTTCAGTTTTGTATTTGCTTACGTTTACTTTTAATGTAACGTGCCAAATGTAACGTTATATGTTCCTGTTCTTGTTTATGAATAACTTGTGTATTAAGTCACCAGTAAACGACGCTTTTGGATAAATTGCGGAACGCATGTTCTAACTGGGAGCTTCTCTCAAAGAACCTCCATGCCGTTAGCAGTATATCTCAAACTATAATTTGCTGCACCAAGTAAGAGTGCTTGGTGACAATATTTAATAGACTTGATAATTAACCAAGTCTTCATATCAAAAATCTGATGTACTGTTTTCTCGGGTAAATCGCTAACCATGCACCAAGTATTCTGAGTATTTGATTGCAGTGCACCAGGCAGATTTTCCTGCACTAAGTATGCAGAGTATTAGAATGCAGTGTCCCAAGTAGATTTTCTTGCACCGAGTGCTAGAACAATTGTTTTTTTAAACGTTGTGCAAGTACTGCACCTTACTGTATTACTTATTATATATTAACGTATTTAATTTCATGCCATATATTTTATGAACCACTGAGGGGCCTGATGGGGGGGTCTCATCACGATTCACGAGTTGATTTTTTGGTCAATCACGATTCACAGAAAATAAATTCCATGATCACGGATCACGAAAATATAAAAAAAAAAAAATCTGTAGAAAAACGGATCACGATAGCGAAAATGCGCCGATCACGAAGAACGAAAATAATCCATCAGGCCCCTCAACCACTGTGTTGTTTTGCATATTACTGAAGCAGAAAATAATACAATTTATGAACATCCATTATGATTTTTATTAATTCTTCCTTCATCAGAGGGCCACATAAGTAGCACGGGTATCCTGACTCGAAAACCCTGGAACGTTACAATATGGTAATGAGTTTTTTATGTTAAACACATCTGTTTTTGAAGACTGATCATTCATAGTCTGTTATATCTATTTATAACTTTTCCAGACCTAGGACTATTTAAATATTTAAATATTTTAACATACTTCTAGATGTTCTTTAGTTTGGTTTTTTGTCATTAGGTCAAAAATTCTGTCTCGTTGATGCATACCCCAACATCTCTTTTCATTTACAAAGAACCGTGTACCAAGAGGCATTTGACAAAATTTGAATATAAAACATTAATATCATTCTGAGTCCATTGCCTTATCAGAAATTTAAGACCACTGGGCATCAGTTTTAACAGTCTGAACTTGTAAAACATAGATTTTTTTAGCAAAAACACTGCATTCTGAAATTTGCATATATGGTTTATAAATAAATATATATGCCGTTAACAATAGAACATCAAATAATCAAGGAAATTTCTGAGTCTAAGTGTCCAAATCAGGAAAAATAAATGGAGAATGTGTCCATGGGACACATATGATGCCCCTGCTTGCATATAGCGTTATAAAGGGACATAACTAGAGAACTGTAAAAGTGATGCCACCCAAAATCAAATGTGATCTGTGTTTTGTAGTAATAAACATTGTGTACAAGTTTCATAACATTAAGTTGAGGCACACTAAAGTAAGTGAATGGAAACGTAAAATTCAGCATTTTTCCATTTATGAAGGGGCATAACTCCAGAACTGTATAAGTGACGCCACCCAAATTCGAACTTGATTTGAGTTTTGTGGTAATTAGCATTGCGTATAAGTTTCATGACATTTAGTTGAAGCAAACAAATTAGAGAACGGAAACCAATTTTGGGGCATACCTACAGACGGACGGACAAGGGTAAACTTTAATTCCCCCTCCGCTACAGCGGGGGCATAAAAATGGTCTATCACTTCACCCTGTTCTTTGTCTAAAAAGAAATCATATATTATAAAAGAATCAAATTACCTTTGGAATTGTCAGTTGAAGATCCACAGATGGATTTGGTCGCAGACAGGTACCAGTAGAGAAACTGCCAATCTCTTGCACATCTATAGGAGGAAGGAACTTAAATTTTCCCTTTATCATCCTCCCATGATCTATTAAAGGGAGTTTTACTTTGTCAGACAGCCAGCTACAATCTCCAAGCTACAAAAGAAATTGAACAACGTACATGTTGTACAAGTACTCTTCCAGAGCACCTGAGATCACTCCCATTTTTTGGTGGGGTTCATGTTGCTCAGTCTGTAGTTTCCTATGTTTCGTTTTGTGTACTGTTGTTTGTCTTTTCGTCTTTTTTTAGTTTTTTGGCATTGCATTTTTAGTTCGTTTTTGATTTATGAGTTTGAATATCCCTATGGTATCTTTTGCCTCCCTTTTCATACTTTAGCTGTTTTTCTGTTTTTCACAATGATTGTTTCACAAAATTCAACTATATTTTAAAATCATACATTTAGATTATCTAAGACAACCATATTTCTCTAAAGTGCTTCACATTCGGTTATGGATATTTACCGTTACTGAAATTGACCCCTGGGCAATATTCAGTGTTTTTCATCCGAGCAGAACAAGCCTGCCCTTATTGTGCACCTACTATCTCGCCAGATTATTGAAGCTCTTATATATAATTATAGCCCAAATTTTTAGCTTTTAAAATTCTCTGTTTTTGTTTGTCTCAATTTCAAACTGCTTTGACATCTGAAGACCTTTTAAAGGAATTATTGGGGCTCTAGGACGTAAGAGCCCAGTACATATAAAACCATGTTATAATCAGAGATTATCTCAACACCTGTTGGAGTGATTTTTTTACTTAATCACCAACAATCACCCCGTTTCAGTGATTCACTCAACACCAGCTGGAGTGTTTTTGAACTAAGCCACCCTGTGTGTACTGTATTTCTATTCTGTAAAATCTTACATCATGTTCTTTTCCTCTTGGCAAGTGTAATAATATTGATTTCAAATCCTTGATACATTCATTGATCTTTGAAATTCTTTTCCCTTTCAACTGAACTTCATTCAGCAGCTCTGTGATCTGAAAAAAAAGACAAATCCATCAATGCAATGAAATAAGAATTAAACAGAAAACTCAGTCCATAGGACACCATGCCCTGCTTGTAGTATTAATGAACTACAAAATTTGGGTCAATATCTTAATTTTCATATATTTTTAAAAGTTCTCATTATAACAAATATACAAAGTTTCATGGTAAAATACTTTAAACCTAATTTTTATCCTGAAACGGGATAGACGAACCGACCAAAACAAATACCCCCTACTATCAAAGACAGTTACATCGGGATACCATAGTTTGGCTTCAATTCCAGATTTTTTTCAAATTTTCTTTTGACCAAGTGAGGGACAGCATTTCAATGACTCCCCACATTTGTTTCATATCTCTCTATTTTCTTCTTACAAACAGAGTGGCAAGCCTTGACTATTTTTTTTTGTTATATCGCTAACTTTTAGTAGGGGCTATTCCATTAAAACATACAAGGCACTTTAAAAATGGGATAACCATCTATACGAGAATTTTACAATATATTTTGGTCATAGTCACTTTACAAAAAAGTCATTATATCTAACTAGTATACATTATTGTTTAGGGGCCAGCTGAAGCCCGCATCATGGTGCAGAATTTTCTTGCTGTGCTGAAGACCCATTGGAGGCCTTGGGCTGTTTTCTGCTCTTTGTTCATGTTTTTGTCTCTTTGATGCATTCCCCGTTTCCATTCTCAATTCTATTTACACCCATACATGGTTTAGATTTCTATGTGCCTTCCCTAGGTCCCATGTACGTTTTTATGGAACGGCCTTAATACAAAATAGGATAATTATTAGTAATATAAGACAAGATGCTAACTAGAGGTACATTTAAAATTTCTTGATAGTCCCCAATACTAAAAATCAAATGTAATAACACTTGGCCCAAACTGAAGATGATAACTAAATCTCATACAAAATTATTGGAATTCCTGATAAATGTAAACAACCTGAAGTTTAAAAACATTAGAATGGAATAAATTTTCTGCATCTTTAAGCTGATGAAGTTCATCACTGGATAGTGGTTTATATAACTGTCCTTTGTCAATTTTCTTCGTCTTTTTCTCTGGAACAGCATCCTCTGTTAATGGTTCTACTTCATCTTTTGGACCATCATCTTCATTTGACTGCAAAAGTGCAATGTTAAAATTAAAAGTGTAACAAACATGATAAACACACTTCACTGGCCAACATTACAAGAAAGGAGACTCAAAAGCAGATTAAATATGTTCCATAGAATAACAAACAACAAAATTGCCATACCACATACCGACATACTAATTAAAAGCAAATCAAACACCAGGTCAAGCCACGAACAAACATACCGACAAATTCGATGCAGCAAAGACAGTTACAAATTTTCATTTTTCTGCCAAACTATAAAAGACTGGAACAAATTACCTGAACCAATAGCCTGCAGCACCACTACTGAGTGCTTCAAGGAGAAACTCACTAGAGAGATGCTCCTTGACACTTACAAACACCTACATGTTTAATATGTATCTTGTTTTTATCTTATACCAAAAATTAAAAATAAAAATTGAAAAATATTACTTACATATACATTTGTATATATAAAAATTGAAAAATTATTATGAAATCAAAAATATATTTTTAATCATTAACAATATTGTTAAACCAGGCATGCGCCAGAAAGTAATCATCTACCAGTTGATATTTTTCTGTATATAAAGAAGAGAAGAAGTATTAAATTGACTATTATTGGCTGAAAAAATCACAATGTACATGATGTAATATAGCAAATTTGGACAAGACTTTAGAATATTTCAGTAAATGCATACAGTATTTCTGTACTTTGGCTATTTTGGAAAAAGCATGCATGTACAATGTATGATTAGATTATTTCTGTATTTGTCTATTTCAGAAAAAAGCAGACAATTAGAACAGGGGTTTCACTAAGATATTTTGATGAGTCCTTGGACATGTTCTTCTGTAAAAGACTTGGAGGCTTTCCCTGACATCTGAAGATTTGACACCTACAATGCACCTAAATTAACCAGAGTATATATTTCCCTTTTGGAGTGAATCTGAGTTCAAAGCAATTTTCAGACACAGAATCCTAAAAGGGATAATAACAGAGTATCCAGGTAGAACAAATTAAAATACATTCAGCAAGTTTAAAAATTCGACTAATCACGTCAATCTAGAGAAAACCAGGGTTCATATTCAAAACAAATCTTCATCTTTCGCCCCCGAATTTAGTTGACAGATTGCCTGCTAGATGTTTCATATCCATAACTTCTGACACCCTCCCCCTATTTTCTTTGATGAGTGTTTTCATGCATTTCATTCGATACTATTTCCTAATTTTAATATTACATGTCTCCTTTTCATAATGTTGATATACTGTTCTTTTCTTTGTGCTGTATACCATCAAAAACTGTTTAAAAATGCAATGTTTACAATTTAGATGAAGAAAACGTGTTTCTCCTTTCTACATCACGAAACAGGATCAGGACTCAGACATGAATAGTTTCCGGATATATTAAGATAGTTCTCAGGAGTGCGACTGTTGGATATTAAACGGATTTGTCAGTGTGTTGATCGTATTTATTTTTGCATGTGTTGCTTCGACTTTTGATTACTAAATGCACTTAAAGTAATTATCACTTTAACAAATACATCGAATGGTATATATTAAAGGTTGAGTGGTGGACCCACTGGGGTTGGGCGTAGAGGGCGTACGTCCCCTCCTTAGATCGACAACAATATGAAAAAAATGTCATGTTTTTCACGATATCAGAGACATGAAATATATGTTATAAATGTCTCTGACGTAATATATTAAGTTTTAGTAAAAACCCGTCCAAAAAAAATTACGCCTCGCTCCGCACGGCAGAATATAGAAAAATTGTTAAAAAAAAAAGAATAACGAAAAAGGGTCAGTGAAAAAGTTAAAGTTTAAAGAGACAATAAAGGACAAATCCAGACCCTCAAATATAGAGATCATGTTTAGTCAATGAGGAAATCACCGTTATGATTCGATTATGAAACTCAGTCTATTTCACAATTAGGAATAGTACTAAGAATCCATTTTAATAGGTCATTTCTCCTATTCAATTCACTTAGTCCTTCAAATCTTTTTTCTCTTGATCAAATAAAGGTTGAAAATTTTAATCATTGGTTCTGGTGGATTTTAGCATGTGAAGCGGTCCTTTCTTTGACCTTATTCTAGATTTATTTCCATATGCTCCATCAGATGCGCTAGTGGACTCCTTTCTTGAGACGTGGCCGCGGTTGGTGACTTTGCCATGATCCAGGCTGGTACCTTGAGTGGTAATTTTGGAATGAAAATAATTCTCTAAAGTTAAGGATGAGAATCGATTTTCTAATTTGAAGTTCGAGACTAAAATGTTTCTAACACTTTTATCTGCTTAGAAATTCTGTACAAATTTATTCTTGGCATAACTGCGTTGAAGTATGATGTTGTTTTATGAAATCCACTCGGAAGTACGGCTACCGATATTAGAGTGCATAAGTCGGCATAATGTCATATTCGGCATCAGGTCAAGTAATTTGAGCTTACTTTAAGAAACTGCACGCATTCTTTGATACTGTCATATTGTTCACCATAATAAATTGCCAATGAGACAACTATCCACTAGTACCAAATGACGTAAAAAAATATAGGCCTCCGCACGGCTTTAACAATGAGCAAAACTCATACAGTATAGTAAGACATAAAAGTCCCTGTAAAAATGTAAAACAATTCAAACGAGAAAACCAACGGCCTGATTTATGTACAAAGCAATAAACGAAAAACATATATGATTGACAGCGACCAACGACAACAACTGTCGGAGTGCAGGCTGTAGACTTGGGACATGCACATACAAAATGTGGCGGTGATGAACATGCTTGCGAGCGTTCATTCCTCCCCCTACCTGGGACAGAGGTGTAACAGCACGTATCACATAAGAACAAAATATAAAAACAATTTAAAAAGGCTATATCTTGCTATTCGGTATGGGTTTTGCTCATTGTCGAAGGCCATACGGTGACCTATAGTTCCTAACGTCTATGGTCATTTGGTCTGTGGTGAATAGTTGTCTCACTGGCAATCATACCACTTCTCCTTATTTCATATTGGCTCATCAGATCGACACAAAGCACAAAAACAACTAACAGGAAAGTACCGATCTAAGGTTACCCCTAGCAACTGGGAGCTAGCTCAATACCAATTACAATTAATAAATAAATTACGCTTCTCATCTTTTGTCTGCTTGTTCTCGTGTGTGTGTTTTTATAGATCGATTATATGGACAGAGTTGGATGCTTTTCTGTACAGTGATTCCATCAGACATATTAGTAGATGGGTTTTTTTTAGTGTACAGTATCTTTTTTTTATATCACGGACCAAGATTAAAAGGTAGGGTTAAGATTTTTGTTGTTGTTGTTGCGTTGCAATATCCACTACATTTTCCATAAATATAGGTATAGGGGGAGGGTTGAGATCTCATAAACATGTTTAACCCCGCCGCATTTTTGCGCCTGTCCCAAGTCAGGAGCCTCTAGCCTTTGTTAGTCTTGTATTATTTTTAATTTTAGTTTCTTGTGTACAATTTGGAGTTTAGTATGGCGTTCATTATCACTGAACTAGTATATATATTTGTTTAGGGGCCAGCTGAAGGACGCCTCCGGGTGCGGGAATTTCTCGCTGCATTGAAGACCTGTTGGTGGCCTTCTGCTGTTGTCTGTTCTGTGGTCGGGTTGTTGTCTCTTTGACACATTCCCCATTTCCATTCTCAATTTTATTTCTGGAAATATAATTTTTAGTTTTGGCTCTCGTGGTCAAACGCCATTAGTGACATTTTTAGTTACTTTTTATCATTGGTCGTTAAAAACTTTTTAAAATCTTTTGCTCAGAAACCACCTGTTTAGAAAAATAGCAATGGTCTGTTTCTCTCCTTTTTTCAAAGGATGCATGTTTACACCGATTGATTCCACGTTTTTCCTTTTCTTTTCCTGATAAACCATTTGCGACAAAGATTCCTTTAAACAATTTCCATGCAAGGTAAGTACAGGATAACGTTTTGCATTTTTCTTTGTTATAGACATTGGCATGCATAATATATAAGGTATTATTTACCGTTAATATATTATATGTACATATCTATCAATGCATTTGTCGTCGGGTAATGTTATCTGATATCGATATGAAATTTATATTAAATTGTGTTTATTTTTTTTATCTAAACAAATAATCAGATATCAAATATTTATGGACTGATGAAAAGCTTTGTCATTTATAGGTAAATATTTTAAATCTTTCAGATTTTCATTCACCAGAGTCCTTACCTTGCTTAGTATCCTAGCATAATCTCTTCTTTGTGTTTACAATCAGAGGCCCAGACACCAGAACCACACCGTGCAACAGGAATCAGCACACCCTCAAAATCGAGTCAATATCAATACTATTAAAAAGAGGCATGGGGCTGTACCAGTCAACGAAACAGCTGCCGGTATCCAGCAACACAATAAAACCCTACAAGATATAAATCCACAAAGCAAGAACACATTAAACAAGTGGAAATATTAAAAATATTACAGAATACTAACTAAAAAAAAATTATTCAAACACAAAGAAAACAAATATTTAGAAAAAAAGGGATTCCCTAAGATATAATATTCGCAGCATGAAAGCAAGGCCAAACAGTTCAGATTCAAGCAATCTTTTAGGTTATATAGTACATAACTTTGTGGGGAAATTTTAATATCTATATTATTTTACTCATATCATTAAAATTATGAATATAGAGATGCAAAATTTGAAATCAAATTAAAAACGGCGACATCTTTAATAGATAAAGCAACGCCGACATTTCTATCATAACGCTAAGACGTCACAATAGTAACACATAACTGCGACCATCCGAAACCTTATACAATTGGCAACTAGCAAAAATGGGATAGAAGTAGGTTCCAAGTAAGTAGCTTCCGTGAACCTTATTTTCTTTATAACACATTATGTAAATAGAATGATGTACCATTTTATTTTTTGTAATTTTGAATAATAAACAAAGAGCCGAAATCCATAAGCTGATTCAGTAAACATTGGTTTTGTCTTTCACCTCGATCATGGTACCACCGTAATGTATGTTGCATTTTCTGAATACAGATAATATTTTATTCGCACCTTCTATTGTTTACCAAATAAAAATTTCCAAACGTGTTATAATCAGACCCTCTTATATCATGCATGACAACACAGAAGATCACCGACGAAAATCTAGATGAAAGCATGCAAAGAATTTAAGATATAAAAAAGGACAGAACTGTGTTATATTGAATAAGTTATTTCTGCATTTATATTAATTTGAGAAAATCAAAGATATATTCAAATGTTTTGTAATTATAGATGAGGACATGTCAGCAATCCAGCTTAAATCTAAAAGAAGTTCAAAAAGGCTACTCAAACATGTAAATTCTAAACCCAGCCTAAGTGTAAGTATATTTGTTGTAAGAGATAGCAGAAATGACAAATCTGAAGACAGTTAAAAAATGACCACGAACTGAACTATACCAGGCTGGAGCCAAGGATGCTGCGAACGTTGATACAAGTAATTGTTTTCAGAAATGATTATTTGACACACTGCAGAAAATATTAACAAACATAATGTTTGAAAATTGCATTTTTACATTCTTTCAGTGTACAGTGCACAACGATTAAATTTACTTAATAATTATATGTATCGACTTTAAATTAAAAACAATATGCTTTATGTTATGCATATTCTCATGCAGTGATTCGTGAATTCTCATGCAGTGATTCGTGAATTCTCATGCAGTGATTCTTGAATTTATGTGATTTCAAGTCAAAATTTGAAATGCCAATACACGTATGAAGCACTGTATGGATTTATTTTAAAGCAAATATTATCACATTCGGTTATATCGACAACAGTATTTTTAATTGAAATCATTCTTACAATACTTTCAGACTGTGCCTACTGTTGAGGTTGGTCCTGATGAGGACGGCCTTACATATCCTGATCCTGCTCCACCAGTTTCAACTAAATCACAAATATATCATCCAGAAGAATTCTTCGAGATAGAACAGCATGTTCTTGAGGTATTATGAATATTTTATATTTCTTCCTTCTTGACTATACACAACTACAGCCGATTGGACGATAGGTAAGCAATAATTAACTTGACAATCAATCAATCATAATTTTGGTAACGATGGCAGCCTAATTATTTCATCCTTTTGCAGCTTTTGTCCTCTTCGTCTCATCATTTTCTCTTGAATAGTTAAAAACTGAATATTGCAAATGATCTCTTCAAAGCCCATGTACTGGAGCGTATTTAAGGTGGTATGGTAGTATAAACGAAAAATGATAGATTTTTTTCATACTTTGCCAAATATAGTATATATTGTGGTATGTTTAAAAATATAATGAAAATGATAGGTCACCGAGCTTTTTTTTCAAGCTACAGGTTGTAAAAAAATGACACATTTTGTATGGATTATACAGGAAAACCATCATTAAGTGAATAGAACGTAATCTAAATAACAGAATTGTGAAATAAAATACGAGAAGATGGCTCTTAGAAAATGCTGTCAGAATATCAAAAGAAAAGATAGGGTCACCGTACGTTTTTTCCTGCTATAACATATAACAGAAAAATGTCATGTAGATTCCTTTAGAAATTATACTATTTCAGAGTTACCTCCTCTGTATAAACTAATTTAAAAAAAAAATGAAAATCAAGCAAAAAAATAATCTACGTTTGTAAAAATATTAGTTATCATAAGTTAAAACGTTATAAATTTATTTATTTGAATGAAAATTCACGTTAGTTAATTGCATTCCTGCATCAAATTTTGCTGACTTGATTGAAAATCGGGACTTATAGTGTTCTGCTAGTCTACAACCCAAGACTGAGAAAGACACATATATACTACCTTTATGTTCTTCTTTACAGAGTTTGCGGTGTGCCTGTTCTAATTAAGATATGTAAACAAACCGTTGTATAGTTCTATAATGCCCATCGAATTTTTGAATCGATCTTGATCGTTTTTGATCATGGCAACTAGCTAATCGGAGAATTACAAAAGAGTACACAAAAACTTCTATATATTTCTATTGTTTATCTAATAGCCGAACACAATAGTAGTATCATCAATATATTAAAGAATACAAACAACATGTTTAAACTGTTGTTGTTTTTGTTGTTTTTTTTATGGGGGGAGGGGGTTGGGTTGTTTTGTTTTTGTTTTTCTTTTTACGTGAATGCATTTCTGTACCAGCCACTCTTCAGTGTGAATAAACATATATATATATATATATATATATTTCCTAATACCGTTTCGATTCCTAACATCACTGAAGAGACATTAATTGTCGAAATCCGGATATGGTGTACAAAAACCTTTGCACCTTTTGTTTGCGATATACCATCTTTTCCGCAAGTTTATTGTTTTTTGTTTAGTATTAAATTCATAATTAAGATCCATTTATTACATCGGTGATCCGTTTATTTGGCAATCGCCAATGGCAGTCAGCAGGGTTTAAGAACATTTGTTGTTCTACCTGTTAGTCAAATGCGTTTTGTTAAAATATACTTTTTTGGTCTTTTGGAAAATGCTGTTTGTGCTGTATTTAGACCCCTCTAACAAGAAATTTGTTTTGCATTCACACGTATAAAAATTGCGGTTTTTATCCAACGCAATTATAGTTTTGAACGTTGTTTTCAATTTAGACTTGTATATATATAAATAGGAAAGGAAACACCTGGCCACCGAAAGCTTTATTACTAGTATTGTGAAGCCTAGGTGGTCGTGTGGTCTAGCGCGTCGGATACAGTGCAGGCGATTTGGTGTCACGATATCTCAGTAGCATGAGTTCGAATCCCGGCGAGGGAAGAACAAAAAATTTGCGAAAACAAATTTACAGATCTAACATTGTTGGGCTGATGTTTAGACTAGTTGTATATACAGAATGTACACATCCATGTATTACCATCACTGCTGGTGATCCGATGGATAAATCTGTTGTAGAGTTGTCACTGGTTCAGACGTACTTATATATATATATATATAAGGGGAAAGGTCAAGGATAAAGCAACCAAGCAGCACATCAAATGATCGCTTCTACTGTACGCCTGGTTCCAACTGATTTTCACAAACCCATCCCTTTAAAGTAACATTAAGATAAACTATAACTGTCTACATTTGTTCTTGTACATTGCAGGTCTCATTGAATGCAGCCAACGATTATTCAACATTATTGGACTATTTATTAAGTAATCTTGAAAGCGACTTGGCTAAAGTGAGAGCAATATTCTGTTGGATTGTTCAACAAAAAGTGCCTTTCCTGTTATGTCAGAAGGATATACCGTCCCCTGATACTCCTGTCGGTCACCTACACGCAATACGGATGCGTAAAGGAACATATGCTCAGTTATTCGCAATAATGTGCAGGTAATTTTTTTTTAAACACTACCAGGAAAAGAGACATTTTTGAAAGAAGAAAATGATAATGGAGCTATGGGACCAAATGTATCGTAGGATTTTGTGCTTAAAATATTTATTCTTTTCTGGATTTTATCCTTCTTTGTTTAGTGTTTTTGGACGCATGATAGTTTACACCTTAAGATCAGATAATAAAAAATCTTAACAACAATTTCGGACTATTTGCCTAAGATACTTTGAGTTTGTAAGCATTCTGTAAGTGTTTTTATTTCTTTATATGAATAGTTTAAGAAAGGTTTGGTAGTTCTCTTTGTTCTCTGGTGAATAGCTGTCACTTTAACAATCATACCGCATTTCTTTATTTTGATTTTTACCCCGACATCTTTCACAATAGAAAAAAAAACAAACAATGAGACAGCAATCAAACAACACAAGTCAACAAAAACGATATTTACAGGTCACTCTACATAATGCGCGTAGCTACGTTTACGTCAAAACGCCTGGGCGTACACATAAATTTTAGAGAAAAAAATATTCTAATCTAAAGAAATTAAAAGAACTGGTTAAAAGCCTTTTAATTCTTTCCTCAATGACTTGCAATAGAAGAAAAAAGTGACGAAATTTACTTTTTAATCAAATGGTATTATATTATATATTTGTTCATTTTCTGTCAAAGTGTGAATGTTGAGCCTGTGACATTTATGTCGCGAAAGCGAGACATACCGATCCTAGATTCCGCGTCGGCGTCGTCAAGTTGACAACATTTAGGTTCAATCTGTGGTTAAAGTTTTTTTAAGCATTTGTAACTTTGTCAAACCTTCATGGAATTTAATGAAATTTGGACAGAGGCTTTTTTATGACCAAAAGACAGTATAATAAACATACATTTTTCAATTTTTTGCCGTATTTTACTAATAAAAGGACTTTGTTGTTTGCAGTTAATAAGTAGATACAGTAAGATAGTCTTAGGTTAAAGTGTGTTAAACATCAATTACTTTGTCAAACTTTCATCGAATTTTATGACAATTTGGCAGAAGCTTTTTTATGAGTAAGAGATTATGTCTGAAGCAAAATTTTGAAAGTAAAAAAAAATTTTGGAAAAATTTACTGACAAGACGGACTTATTTTTTTTTTTTTTGAATTAACACAGTGGATTAAATTTTTGTGACATGTTAAATTTGTTAACCTTCATAGATTGTTATGAAACTTGGATATAAGCTAATTGTTCAATATCATGAAAAAGCATCGGAAAAAAGTTTGATTTTTTTTTTAAATCACACTTTTACACTGACAGCAGCTATCCCAGGCGAGACACAGGGTTCCACTAAACCGGCCTTACACATTTTTATGTTACACCTGACCATCTATAAACATTCATCATTTCCTGTGTCCATAAACAAAATTTGTGCATAAAATGGGAGAAAATAAGATGAACATATTATTGAATAAATAATAGAACAACATTGAAATGGAAACTCTTTGCTTTTGTTTTTATTTTTGTCGATTGCTTGTTTAATTCAACATCTCCTTTTAAACATATTATAAAGTGTCTGGTTTGGACATTTTTCTCTGAAATCTATGACCATTAGATTCCAAATTATCAAAATAAATGATAAATTAAACATGAAAATAAACAAATTAGACTCTAAAGTATGTTACTATTGATGAGTTTTTTATGACAGAAATGGTATTTTTCTCGATAACGCGTGAGGTTCCTGGGGCTTCACCCCAACGAACCTCTTACCAGGAAGTCCTTTGACCTAAACCCGCTGGTGGCCCTCATGTCCCTCGCCAAGGTTCGGGCGTACACTTAAAAATGGCCTAGCTACGCCACTGACATTCTAACTTTGTACATGCACATGTATATCTTATTAGTCCCCTGGCCTGTAATCCAGACTGAGTGGTTGTCATTGGTTGCTGTCTGTTATAACTGGTTTTCGTTTATTGTTTTGGTATCAATTAGGCCATTCGTTTTCTCTTTTGAATTGTTTCGCATTTGCCATCTCAGAGCCTTTTAATGCTTACTGTACGGTATATGGGTTTTACTCATTATGAGTCATTATTGAAAGTGATTTGTAATTGTTCATATCCTTGTCTATAGGTTTTTGGTGGATATCTGTCTCGTTGGCAATCAATCCTTATAATACGAGCACGTGAGACCTGATTTTTAATCAGATTGGTTGGCAATCATACCACATACCCTTATTTTGATCATAAATCATTAAGATTTTTAAACAATTCAGTGTATCAATTTGTTACAAATGGTGGTGCATAAGCCTCGAGGATCGAATGAGCCAATTTGAAAATTCCATTAATGGTTGATAATTTATTCTTTCTGTTTCAGGAAAGCTGGTCTACCTTGTGTAGTAATACACGGTGTGGCTAAAGGTGTGAACTATAATGTTGGAGATAAAATTGATACCGTCACTATGAAGAACTCTTGGAATGCCGTATTTGTGGAAGGGAACTGGAGAATAATTCATCCTCATTGGTCGTTAATGACTTCCAATGGATATGAGACGGGGGCTTGGACAGTGGTAGACTGTCAAGAATTTCATACAGGCGACAGGATAGGAAGTCGGTCATACATTGTCACTCCTAAGATCAATGATTCCTATTTCTTGATAGATCCAGAGATGTTCATCATCAAATGTTTGCCAAACGACTTTAAATGGCAGCTACTTGATGATCCGATTTCAAAGGCCGATTTTGAAAATAAGCTGTTTTTACAACCTAATTTTTTTAAACTTGGGTTACAAATCATTGAACCAAAATCTTGTAAAGTTCTATGTAATGATGGAAAAATAAAAATTGTAATACAAATGCCAGAAAAAATTAAAAGTAGACTGAAGTTTAGCTATAAGCTATTTAGGAAAAGGTATCCTGATGACGAGGGTGAATATACATACCCCTCTCTTGAAAAGTTCGTTTTGCATTATTATTCGAAGAATGAAACTATATTTGAAGTGAGATTTCCGCCTGTTTCTGTTGGCACTTACAAAATGCAAATCTTTTGTGTAGACATAAACGAACATGAGCATAACAATTCAGGATGGGTCTGTGATTTTTGTTTAGCATGTAAAAATGGCATGGATGAATGTCTTCCTCTACCTCTAGTGCCGGAAATAGGATGGGGTGCAAGAGAGGAATATTTAGAAAAATATAATATGACAGCTTTAGCGGAAACATCTGGAAAAGTCAACATCGATGAATCCCTAGAGACAGTGTTTAAATTTACTGTTGATCCTGACAGTGATATTTACGCAGAGCTCTCTCAATCATTGAAAGCAAAATCGGAGTTATCAGACTGTGTAACAGTGGTGAAGAATAAGGCCGAGGTTGTTGTAAAAGTGAAACCTCCTCAGGAAGGGGAGTATGCTCTTCAAATCTTTTGTAAAGATACAGGAACATTAATGTATGAAAATGTTTGTAATTACCTATTAGAACGAACTGAAGTTGTTGAGGTAAGTTATTCCCTGTTTACAGTGCTTTCAGATCTTTGATAAAAATACACGTTTCGCCGATATTAATTTCACATGTTAACTGTGAATTCAATATTATTCATATCAAGTTTGCATCTACGTACTTTTGTGAATTTGTTTAATTTCTTGCTCAATATAGGCCATTGCAGATGACCATCAGATAAGATGAAACTACCACATGAATATGTAGTTCTTGGTATTTGTCTAGTTGAATAAACCAGAGATTTTTGCTGTTCTTTCAACTGATCTAATCTCTGCATTGGTTCAACTTTGGCGTTTTGTCATATGTTTTTGTGATGAATTTATTTATCCATAAAGGGAATTTAGTATAAAGATAAGAAGATGTGGTATGATTGCAATTGAGACAATTATCCATGCACCATAGAGACCAAATGACGAATATGGGACAGACACATTTTAAAAAGTTTAAATTTAGTTTGTTTGACATTTGTGTAGTATATCATGTTATCAGCTTGTATAATTATGAAAAGGGTGAGCATTTTTAGAAAAACTTGTCCTAAAATTTTGTGTCAATGTTTTCTTGGTGGATATTGCATGTAGAAGATATCTCGAGTGAAGCTTATCTAATATTATAATCTATTTGAAAAAAACTCAATAAACTTGCCTTAAAATTGAATAATCAGCATTTCAATGATGTTTGAAAATCAAAAGAATTAAAACAACTCTTCACCATCTATGTTACTCCAGAAACAGTCTGAATAGTATAGATATGTAATAATGCCGAAATTAAACGTCAACAAATAAACTACGAACTTTCCAAATTTCATTTTCACTTAACACTTGAATAAGCAAATACAAAACAAATTATTTCGACAGAAACCCAAACAATACAATGAAAATAAGGAGATGCGGTATGATTGCCAATGAGACAACTATATCCACCACAGACCAAATGACGTAGATGTAAGCAACCATAGGTCAACGTATGGCCTTCAACAACGAGCAAAACCCAGACGATAAAGAAGGCTTAAATAGACCTTGAAACAATAAACTGAGAAAAAACAACAGCTTGATGTATGCTAAAACAAAAAACGAAAAACAATACAATATGCAGCAACCAACGATAAAAAATGAATTACAGGCTCATAACTTGGGACAGGCTAATAAATAATAAGGAATATGGCGGGTGAAATATGTTGTGAGCACCGAACATAGGACAGTGCTGCCACAGGACAACATAAGAACAAACAAAAAAGGCCGTACTTTGACCTATAATGGTTTACTTTTACAAATTGTGACTTGGATGGAGAGTTGTCTCATTGGCAATCATACCACATCTTCTTAAATCTATGTATATATATATTTGTGTTGAATAGGAACCTAAAATGGCAGAAACTCGAAAATTGCTGTTAGAAGCAGTTAGTAGTGGTTCACCAGAAAATTTACAAGCAGCTCTTAAAGAATTTGAATTAAAAGGACTTATAGACAAAGGAGAATACACAAAGGCAAAACGAAAACTTCTTTTATCAAGGTTAAATAAAGGTAACAAAAACTACCAAACGATAACGAAAATTTCATTTGAATTAACAATGGAATTAAAACCTAAAAAGGTAATGAAAGCTTCGTTTAGCAAGGTTAAAAATGTAATGAAAGCTTCGTTTAGCAAGGTTAAAAAGGTAATGAAAGCTTCGTTTAGCAAGGTTAAGAATGTAATGAAATCTTCGTTTAGCAAGGTTAAAAAGGTAATGAGAGCTTCGTTTAGTAAGGTTAAAAAGGTAATGAAAGCTTCGTTTAGCAAGGTTAAAAAGGTAATGAAAGCTTCGTTTAGCAAGGTTAAACAGGTAATAAAAGCTTCGTTTAGCAAGGTTAAAAAGCTAATGAAAGCTTCGTTTAGCAAGGTTAAAAATGTAATGAAAGCTTCGTTTAGCAAGGTTTAAAAGGTAATGAAAGCTTCGTTTTGCAAGGTTAAAAGGGTAATGAAAGCTTCGTTTAGCAAGGTTAAAAAGGTAATGAAAGCTTCGTTTAGCAAGGTTAAGAATGTAATGAAATCTTCGTTTAGCAAGGTTAAAAGGGTAATGAAAGCTTCGTTTAGTAAGGTTAAAAAGGTAATGAAAGCTTCGTTTAGCAAGGTTAAAAAGGTAATGAAAGCTTCGTTTAGCAAAGTTAAACAGGTAATAAAAGCTTCGTTTAGCAAGGTTAAAAGGGTAATGAAAGCTTCGTTTAGCAAGGTTAAAAATGTAATGAAAGCTTCGTTTAGCAAGGTTAAAAATGTAATGAAAGCTTCGTTTAGCAAGGTTTAAAAGGTAATGAAAGCTACGTTTAGCAAGGTTAAAAAGGTAATGAAAGCTTCGTTTAGCAAGGTTAAAAAGGTAATGAAAGCTTCGTTTAGCAAGGTTAAAAAGGTAATGAAAGCTTCGTTTAGCAAGGTTAAAAAGCTAACAAAAACTTCACTATAGCCAAGACCGAAAAATAGCTAAAACATTGACAGATTAACAACGTTTCATGTTTCGATGCAATGTATGTCTTATCTCATATTAGAAACATCCTGCTAAATTCTTGGTTGATAATTTTTTTGGGGGAGGGGGGAGAGGGTCTAGACCCAGTTTTCAACCATCTACGTCAAGATGAAGACAATTTTAACCATCCTTTTTAACTTTTTAACCCTTGTTCTTTTTTAACTGTTAGTGCATTTATAAGTTTATTGTAAAAACTTTTTGAATAAATCAACTTTTCGGGCTACTTTTATGTCATCGAAGTATAATATAGTCTGCATTGTGATGAAAACAAAAATTGACAACAAATGCATTTTCAATCAAACTACTAGTAAACAAATATGACGATGACTTTTCATATCCACTTCCCTTTCAGAGATTCGAGAAGCTATAGCCGCCAAGGATTTGGACACGCTAGATAAAACTATGCACAATCTTAGTGAAACGTCACTGAAAAAGGATCTTGGATTGATTTATCAGGATGCAGAAGAATTGAGATCGAGGCTGAGGAAGCTAAAAAGATTACACCATGCTGTGTTAGCCATGGACCAGAAAACAATATCAGAACTAAGAAGTTATCCCCAGCCACCAAACCCTGTTCATGGTGTAATGGCAGCAACATTTCTTCTCCTGGGCCATAAGGAAACAGATCTCAAGGTCTGTTTATAGGATTTTCTTTTTTTTGTTAAGTAAAATAGAATTTAACACAATTAAAACTGACACATTTATTTAAATATTTTTGAGAGGATACTAAGTACCTTAAAAATATCTTAAACAGGTCAAGACAACATGATAAGTATCATCTAGAAGACATTGTTTGCCATCAAAGGCCATGGTTTCTTTAAATTTAGATCAGAGGGTTACAATTAGATGCTACCTTATACAATATTTTTCGCTGTCAACAGTAGAGTAGATTCCTGGGGATTCTGTCGAGTAACTTCTTCTTTGTATTATTATTGTTGATATAGATTTCAGTGGCGGATTTTATTGGAAAATATATCATTTCTAAACATAAAATTGTCCACATTTTACATATTTATTACGTTTTGTTCTATTACGTCCCCTTTCAAAAATCCTTGATCCGCCCCTGGATTTGACATGTATCTTTAACTTACGTTAAATATTTGCTATAACAAGGTGTGTATGAAAAACACGTTGTACTATAGAATACTGAAATACATAATTAGCATTCTTCTTTTTTTTTAAGAAATGGGCCACCATCCAAGGACTCATATCAAAAAGGGGAAAAGAAGGTCTGAAGAGAAAAGTTGCCAATATAAACATTTCAAAACTTAAAAAGGCAAATCTTCAAAAAGCAAAATTTATTCTTTCAAAATATGACCTGGAATCTGTCCAGATAGCAAGTTCTGGTGCTGCAACATTTTATCAATGGGCAAGTATATAGCAATACATATGTTATTCCAATACACTATAATTTGAATGTTCGGACAGAAGTAAAAATCGGTCATATTAACAAAAAGGTTGAGACTTGTAAAATCAGACACAACCAATACACGAGTTACTAACTCATGGATCAGTCAATCAGTCAATGTATTGAATGATCAATCAGTAAAACAAACGAACAATCAATTTGCCAATTAACCGATTACTCAATCAATCAGATTGAATCTAATTTTTGTGTATATCTTACCTATTACCTATTATACACAGAAAATTCAGTTTTTTTTATTAACTCGAATGATTCAGCGCCCTCTATCGGTCAGTGTCCTCTCGTTAATGTAGCGATCGATAGTGATCGAGTCGGAATATAACGACTGGATTAGTCGGGTTAGTTTTTTATTTGATAATCATTGTATTACAGTCATTGGATTTGTTGTGTGTGTGTATCCAATACACGAGTTACCAACTCATGGATCAGTTTATCAATCAATGTATCGAACAATCAGCCAATCAATCATGAATAATAATCAATCAGCAAAACAAACCAACAATCAATTTACCAATCAACCGATAATTGAGTCAATCATTCAATCTGTGCATGATTTTTTGTGTATATCTTACCTATTACACACAGAAAATTCAGTCTGTAGTACAATAATCATTTTATTATAGTCTTTGTTAAATGTTTAGTAAATGTGTTTTTGCAACCTATTCATGTGTGATCTATAATTTCCACTGGATATATTTTCTTTTCTTTTCCAGGCTACAACTATGATAAATGAATATGTCCCAGAAAGAGTACAAAGAAAAACCTAAAGTTATGCCATTTCGAAAATTGTTCTTTTTACCAGTCTAATAAAAGTATGATTTATCCATCTAATTTGTTCCATGTTATGCGAGCTTTTTAAACTTTTTAAAATCAGTACTCGGGAGTACAAAATTTGTTCTCGAAAAACATCAAATCCAGTATTTTGATTGGTTGGTTTCTGAGTCTGAAAACGATAATCGTACTTGAATTTTTGTGATCGCAAGACCAGGATGTTGACAGTGGTTTATTTAAAACCCATTTATTTGAAGACAGAAAATAAAACATCCGCATCTTTCTGCACTTGTAAAGAAGAAACACATCAAACAAAAACACATCAAAATAAATTACGTGCTCCACTATACTTTAAGATGGACGAAAATTGGCTTCTAGTCCCATCAACATGGAATTTTCCTAGTGAGGTTTCTCCTCGCATACTATCATTTAATGTGGATATGTATTAAGAATTTAACTTATACTTAATAACAATTACAATAAAGAAAATCAATGAAATGATTAAAAAAAAACGAGACTTTGAGGAAATCTTTTGGTTTCCCGCAAACAATTAAAAAAAAATCTGTACATTTAAAATTAATCTGGATCTTATTCAACATATGATTTTATGGCAAACAAAATGTGTTATTTGTTACGATATTTCTCCCTTCGATACAGTTAAATTTTAAAATCTAAAACGTGAGGCTTGCCGAGTTTTTTAATATTCAAATTTAACTGTTGAGAGTGGAGAAATGTTGTAATACACGAGATATAGTGGTGGAGACTGTTTCTCTAATGATTTTTAGACGATATCTAAATAAGGTGTATCCTTAATTATCAAAGATTTGCAGAAAGTTGTGTTCTTTTATGTGACGTCATCAGACATGGTCGCATTTTTTCATGACGTCACAATAGGAAATTCAGTAGAAATCAAGAAAAATTGACATCATAATTAAATTTTGACCAATCATTTTCTGAGAACAAAGTTTTCTCTAGAGGTGAGAAGTATTTTTCTCACATCGATCGAGAATTGTGAAAATAGCATGAATATTAGAGAAATTCATTTTAACAATTTTATTTTAATAATTCTTTGATATGAAAAAAAACGTTATCTGATAATGGCGTTTCTTTATAAAAATATAAGGAGATGTGGTATGATTGCCAATGAGACAACTATCCACCAAAGTTCAAATGAAGTTGATGTAAGCTTGTTTGCATTGAAAATGACATCACAACTAAAATCCCTAACAACAGGACCAACATCGTAAAACGTTGCCGTATTTCCGTTTCTTTTTCAACTGATTCTTAATGTAATGTTTACAAACACTTTTTTTCTACACGAAGTTTTTGACGCAATTTTACAAAAAAATGAGACGAAAGACATGTGATTTTTATTTGATTTCTTGATAGATATATGTAAACAGGTTCAGAAAAGGTATCACTCCAAGGGATTGAAATTCTACTTCTGGCTAAATTTTTGGGAAATATGTGACATCTTTTCCCCCCTTTTTGCAATATTTTATAACAAATAAATGCAGATTGTTGCCATGGATACACCAAAAAGAAATTATATTTTACCATTTTAACTACTGGATATCAAATATATGGAAGATACTGATTACATACATATGCACATATATGACACAAACAGTAAACTTAATTTGCAAGACAATGGCGTAGCTAGGCCATTTTCAAGTGTATGCCCGAACCTCATCGAGGGGTTTAAGGTCCGCTAAGGTGATCCAGGGCAGATGACCTCCTGGTAGGCAGTGAAACCCACCGGAAATTCACGCTTTTTGAGAAAGAGATATCAATATCTGTCGTTAAACAACTCATCAATAGCAACATACTTGGTCGGTTAAGACAAAAATTTTACGACAAAAGAGATGATTTCAGCTTCCAATTGTGAACTTTACTTTTCTATGTAGCAACATTCCAGTAGCACCTGCATATGGAGTATATACCTCACAGTTGATAAGATATTCCAGAGCTTGCATTTCCTATCATGATTTCCTTGATAGAGGGTTGCTGCTTACAATGAAGCTAACGAACCAAGATTTCCAAGTGGTGAAGTTGAAATCACCCCTTCGAAAATTTTACGATCGACATCACGAGTAAGTTGACTGTTATGAAATATCTGTTTCACAGAATGCTAATGACGAGGGATCTGTTCCAATTGTTGATATTACCATAACCCCGACCTCTTTTCCACGAATTTGACCTACCGAATTAGACTTATCACTGGGTTTGTACTTACATCAGCAATACAACGGGTACCACACGTGGAGCATCTGCTTTCCCTTCCGGAGCACCTGAGATCACCCCAGTTTTGGTGGGTTTCGTGTTGCTCAGTCTCTTTCTTATATCTGTGTTGTTTTTTGTATACTGTTGTTTGCTTTTTTCGTAGTTTTTCGTATTTTGCTATGGTATTGTCAGTTTGTTTTCAACTGATGAGTTTGGTATATTTCGCCTCTCTTTTAGAGTCTGTTAAATTTATTCATTGTGTTGATTTGAAATCTTATGGTCATTTGTTTGAGAGAAAAATGTCAAAACTAGTTGCTTAAAATATGTTTAAAACGAGATGTGCGGTAAACGACAATCGACAAAAGAATCAAAACTTTATAGAGATGGTAAAAAAGCAAGTGTCCATTTCAATGTTTTCGTTCTATTCATTTTTTTTTTACCTCATCTTATTTACTCACCTTCTTACACGCAAATTTCGTTAATTGACACATGACCTAATTAATTTTCATAGATGGTCAGGTGTAACGTAAAAATTAATACCAAACTGTGACATAAAGATGCAAGCCACATCGTATCTCAGCAGATAATGAATTGCTTTAAGCAAAAGTAGAATTCGCAGTAGAGTCAGACTTTGACAGAAAATTAACAAATATATAATATGATACCATTTGATTAAAAAGTAAATATCTTCAATTACAAGTCATCGGAGAAAGAATTACAAGGCTCGTGTTCTTTTAATCAGTTCTTTTCGTTTATTTGTGTTAAAATATTTTTTCTTCAAAATTTATGTGCACGTAAACGTAGCTACGCGCATGGTCTAATTCTAATCTTGGTATCCAGCGTTTAAAAGTAAAAAAAAATCAAAGAAAAGAAAAATAATCGAACAAAAGAACGGAAAATTTAACATTAAATGAAAGTGATTAAAAGTCTATACAAGGTACACACGTTTTTGAACTACTTGATTGTTGGCTTCTAAATGTCCAGCGACAAATATTTTACTCATCAAGATAACATGTATAACTTTGTTGTTTAGATGCACAAGGTCAGAATCAACAAACAGACACCAATTAGTATCGAAAAATAATATATGTAGCTGTTTACTTCCGATATGTATAGCAAATTAAATATCCAGAAATCTGAGGTACGAAAGTATAGAATTCATGCAAATATCGCAATAGAAGTTCAGCAACTTTGACTGGCCTTTAAAAAAGATGCGGAAAATTCCAATGGGACACCCAAAAACTTAAAAGTTCAAAGAAAAACTGAAAACGATATGGCAAAATCATGTTTTACGATAAAACAAATACATTTGCATACAACAAATATGAATTCGGTATCCCCCGGTAAATTTTATATCAATCAGTGAAAACCGGGAAATTTTAGTGCAAAGAAATATACTGATTTTAAAAGAAAATTCACAGTACATGTTTTGAAGAAAGTCCATTCAAAATCAAATTATTAATAGTATTTGCGGTATTTACTTGCATCCTAATATATATATTTGTACTTCGGTTTATATATGATGTTCAGATTCCTTTATCTCCGAAAATTTTTTGCTTGCATACTTTTTGGATATTTATTTGTGGTTCTAGTGGATCAATGTGCCTGCAAAATTTCATAAAAATCCGTTAGATTGTCCATTTACGTACCTTTTACTTAAAGAAATCTAACTGACATACGCCGATCGTCGACTCGAAATAAAAAGTTCTGCTTTAATTGTTATTTATTTAAAATTTTAGTGTTTATTTTTTTATTTTTTTATTTTGGGGGGGGGGATGTAAATCTCGAATGTTACGTTAATTAACTATTTAGTACAACCTCTTTCTACTTCCTGAATATGCATGAAATAATTGCCATTGGAAGTTATATGCAGTTTGATCCAACGATACAAATCCCAGTGGCGGATTTACCGGGGGGGCACAGGGGGCACGTGCCCCCCCAGTCGAGGTCACCAAAAAAATTTTCTCACATAGTTTTATTGCTACTGTATCTGCTTATCTAGATATCTAGATAGAAAATCAAGACACAGCTTGATTTGACTTCCTAAACTGGTCATTAATTAACCCCAGCTTCAACATGCGTGATTTATGACAAGTTATCGATGGGTGTGTAAATATTGACACCTTTGTGTAAATTAATGTCTATATCCAAAAGCATTTATGTAAACTACATGTACATGTACATGCTGGTTGGAATTAATACGAATATATTAACAGGATCAATATCGATTAACAAGTGAAATCTTCTTATCAGGAAAGAAATTACCAACTAAAATCGGTCTTAAAAGAATATGTAAAAATAGATGTTTAGTGTCAAGAAGGTTAGTATCGATATGAGATATACGTCTTTATTACCAAACACTCACATTGTATACGGTTTCTGGGGAATGTGTCTTTCTCAGAACAGTTTTTTTCGAACTTTATTAAACAACAAACAATTTTTTCAATGCATACAACAGTCCCCCCGGTAAATCCGCCACTGATTACAACATTTTTATTTAAACTCAAATGTCGTGTTTCTTTTCCTCATATTTTTTATGGAAACCATCGATTTGTCTTTAAAAAACATCCCCTTCCACAAAACATGAATGGTCTGTGCCTGATATATAATCATCAATAAAATGATATTGTATTTTTGAAAACCTACTTATTGTACAGTAATATTTGTATATTTTTTCTTGTTTCAATTACCGTGTATGAGGGTATGAATAGGTTACCGTGAATGAGGGTATGAATAGGTTACCGTGAATGAGGGTATGAATGGTTTACCGTGA